AATGACCACACTTACCGGCGGGTGTCTTTATTAACAGACACCACCCTGACTTTGATCATTCATTCCATCAACGCACAAACTTATTCACTTCCTCACTGGCTCATTAAATTTGTATGGCCAAAAAGAATTAGGGGAGGGGAGGATTGATGACTTTTTTATTTTCACAATCGTCCTTCGTTACGCTATTTTATAGTTCAATAGGAAAAGAGGTATAAACAAACAGAAAGTAAGCCCCACACTCCTGAAAACGCTCTGCGCCCCGCCGGAGCGAGGCGAGCTAAGGGGGACCTACGCGGCGCGCCCACCTCTCCGCCTGTCTCTTTAAGAAACAGAGCCTCGCACTTAAAAGGGGCCGCGAAGGGAGCCTGTGGGTTCAGGGCGCCACTGCCTGCCTCTGTATTCGCGTGATGCTGTGTCTTTAAGGAGGCTGCGCTCCACCAGGAGAAGGCGGAGATGTCCCGCCCCCCGGATCTCCTACTTCCGGCAACTCGGAGGGACCGGAACCTGCGCGGAGCATCTGCGGCCCCAGCCTTCCCGGACGGCTGGACGCCGGGCCCCCCGAGGTGAGGCGGCAGGTGTGCGGCCTGCCCGCGACAGAGGGGACCTGGGAGCCCCCTGCCCGCCCAGGCCGCTGCCGCCCAGCGCCTCCACCTAAAACACCGCCTCGGCTTCTTGGGCAGCTCTTTCCCAGACCTTCCTTGGCTCAGGGTATCCCAGGCTGCAGGGGCGCCTTCACTCCTGCGCCTGCTAATTGCTTGGCTCTGCATTAGCGCCTTACTGTCTTATTTAATGACCCCCCCAACACCGTATGAGTAGGTACCATTATGAACCCATTTTACAGATGAGGAAACTGAGGCCCCAGGAGCCCACAGCTACACAGCCAGAAGCAGCAGAATCAGGAATGAAACCCAGGTCTGTCTGACCCCAGAGCCTATGGCCTTAACCACGGGCTAGGCTGACGGCCTTTGCTCTTCATTGTCCTCATAGCCACCATCCTCAACCCCCAGATTCCCCTTCCTCGTCCTTCCATCTCCACTCTGCACCTGGCCCCTAAACACACAGTGAGTGAAACTGGATGGAACCCCTTTGGA